CCTTCAAGATTTTAGAACTAGCAGCTCTCATGGTCTCACAGCTAGTTGTTGTTGTTGATAGATTGCGAGAAGAAAACAAATTTTCCTGCTTTTTCAGTTCCCAGTAAGTTTATTAACTTTGACTGAACTAGTTAAGTAAATTCAATGAAGAAAATATTCTCCCTGCACCTTTACAAGAGGCTATTGCTGTCAAAAGCTTGTTTAGCAGTTCAGCAGACTCTGCTTCCAGGTGATTAGTCAGTAACTTCCACCAGTTCAGTAGCTTGACTGTCTTGAAAACTTTGGCACCAAACATATAACACTTGAATGGTATTATTTATTTAATTTAAATTATTTTTAAAATTATAGTAAGTTTAGGCTTCAAAATAGGTTGCCATAATTTCCAATTTAATAGGTTTGGGGTTTTTTAACTGATTTTTATCAATGCAGCCTTCGGTATGTTTCTGTATTGTGTGATAATTGTTCGTTTCTTCCTTTTCTTCCCCTTCATCTTTCTTTCCTTTTGTTCTGTCTCTCCTTCTTTCAAGTTTTCGCACTCTCCCTCTCTTCTCCTTTGCACTCTTTGGTGTTCCCTGATTCTAATTTCTGTACTCTCCCCTTTCATTTTCTTTCTCATATACAGGTTCACTCCCCTCCCCTTCCCCTCACCAAACACTCTCCCACTCCGGCTTTTTGCCTCCTGGCTTTCCTCTTCACTTTCTCCTTCTGGACCTCTCCCTAGGCTCACCCTCTTCGCTCCCCCCACCAATTCCCCCATAGTGTCATTCCCGAGGCTCTTCTTACCCACCCTCATACTCTCCCTTCCCCAGGCTGTCTTAATCCTTTTCTCCTCTCTACCTCCTGATGTTTCCAGTCACCTCCTTCTTCTAGTGCTGTCCTCTTAGGATAGAGGACTAGGGAACGGCAGACCTGGCTCATTTTTTACTTAGCAGGCAAAGTTGGGAAGAACATCACCACTATGAGAAAATGTTAGTGAGAACATGCCCCCACCCTGATTGCATTTATGGCTCCATGAGCGGGTCCATGTGTCCTACTGCCGTTAGAGGTGGGCATCAGTGTGGTGAGTGAAGAAATGCTGGTTTAAGGTAACTTCTGGGTTAGTCTTTTGATAGCCTGATGGATAGTCTAGCCTCGTGGATAGACAGAGGTGATTGGAAAAGAGAATTTTCATTCCATGGAAAATTTTTAACATTTGTTTTTGTTCCAAATTGGAACAAAAAGTCAAAACTTCACAGAAAGTTAAAGTTTAAAAAAAAAAATCAAGTCAGGAAGTCAAATCGTTCTGAAGATTATATTTATAGATTACATTTGTTTCAAAGTTAGTATTCTATCAAGTAAAATGTTGACATTAAACTAGTCAAAGCTATTTGTTTACTTTTCTGTTGAAAGTTTCATTAAAATTGAAATGATCCCATGAAGTGTTTTGATTTCTACAAAATTATTTTCTAGTGGAAATCTTTTGTCAAAAAGTTTGATCTATGCTAGTCGCGGACTCAGTGATAGATATAAGAACATCTGGCCTCATCAACTTCCGTTACTCTTGCATTGCTGTTGTTGGCTATGAGTGTATGAGGGCAGCACCTAGGGAATCCTAAACTCCCAAAGTTTTTAATATCACCGAGTCCCAGAGCAGTGGTTAATGTCCTCTCTGACATTATCAGTCCAGGGTCTGAGTCTCATTCAGCAGTTAGATTACTTACAGTGTGTGAAAAAATTATATTGATCCTGAAACTGATGTTTGACCTTGTTGGGATTCCTGGAATGAGCCAGGAAGCCCAGAGGGGAGTTGAGCACAGGCTAACACAGACCACCATGGCAGGAAAGGAATATTTTATTCTAGCTACAACATGAGTGGGTTAGAGAGCAGGTAGGTGGAACTGCTGGAGCAGTGTAGACAATAGTATCAAAGGTGTGGAGGAGAGTATTAGCAGTTGGGATGGAAATGGTGGTGCAGAATTGGACAAGTTATAGAAAATGTGACAGGATTCAATGAGAATCTAGGTGTGAGTGGAGGACAGGAAGACATCTGCAGTCCTCCACTGTAGAAAGGTGGATAGAATTGTGACTGAAGCAGGGCTACTCACTTGCTGAGCAGAGAAACAAGTGTATTGTAAGCAGAAAGCTGAAGCTTTAGTGGACAGGAATTGCAGAGCAACCACACGATCAGTTGAAATGTTAGCAGTTTTTGTGTATGGAAGTGTCCTAAAAAATTCTGTTTCCCAGAGACTCTCCTTTTGCTGTGGAAGTAGGTGTAACAGAATAGGTTTTCTCCAAGATGAGTAACAGGAAAAGGAGCATTGGGAAAAGGAACCGAGTGGTTTAGTTTTGCATAAAACTTCTTTCCCATTCCTACTTCCTTCCCTTCTTTTATTTTCTGCTGGGAAGATGGCTAACCTACATCCCCCTTTGGTGGAGATGACAGCCTGATGTAATGCTTTATTCCTATAGGACTGGGAAGAAGAGGACTGTGACAAAGGGCTTTCTAGTGAGTAATTATCCTTTTATCTAGCATCTCTCTATTACCAAATGCGACTAAGATCACCACTGTCCTAATCATTTCATTTCTTAGTGTGCTTGTTGATTTAGTCATTAGTTCACACAATCTAACTTGCAAGGAGTAGCTCAGTTCCTAGGGTGCAGTGGTTCTGTTGTACACATTAAAAATACACTGTTGAGATAAGGCCATATCAATTAAGGTGACAGTGTGCACAGAGGAGCTGCTCATCCACTCAAGCCTATTCCAGAAGAGAGACCCTGCAATCTCTACACATGCTGCTCTCAACTGCTGATTCATCACATGGAATGACCTGAAAAGTCAGTAGAACCTAAGGAGTAAGTACAAAACACCAGGAAAGAGTAAGTACATTGCTGCACAAGTCAGGGACAAGCATGTAGAGATGTATCCTAAGGTTAAAAGAGTGATCCAGATGGAGATCAGTCACAAAAAATGATAGAGATGATTGCATCTGTTGAGTAAATCCCAGGCACAATCCACAGTACCAGACATGCCCTCCAAAATCTCAGTGTAAACTGAGCTAATTTAATATGAAAGTTGAGGAACTCAAGAATACCATATTTTTACAAAGACACTTTGCAAAGTATAACTGCACCTCCAATGTAACTTACTGCACCTATTTTTTAAGTGGGAATAATTGAGCAATCTTTGTGGTGCTTCCAACAACAATCTGCTATGCATTTTGCAAATATAAAAAGGCAGAGACCCTACCCCCACAAGCTAACAATTTAATAGCAGATTCCTGCTATTGGGTGTAGGATCCTAAATATCAAAACAGAAGTATAATGGAAAATGGCTCAATATATAAGTAAATGGAATATGGCCATATTCAGTAATGTAGTAATTTAATATTTTTGTAAAATAGATACATAGAAATTATCTTTGTCCATTTTGTGGAGGTACTTAAATCAGCCAGTTGGCACAAAAGGTAATAATTTCTCTGGAAATTTAACCCCTGGCACCTATTTCTGGGTTCCTAGCTAAAAAAACTACACACTGTCTCCCCTTCCCCCAGAAAACAAATGGTTGTTTTGAAAAGATTCACCCATAAGAGCATTTTGTACATACAGTACTATAGGAGCTGGTAACCAGCCCTATAATTTGGCTGCCTGACTCTTTCCATTTTAAGATACCTAAGTACTCACACCACCGTTGCTTTCAAAATTGGGCAGGGAGAAGATCCTTAGGCCTTTTCTTTGTCCCATGAAATTCTGTTCAGGTTTGGGTGACACAAACTGTTAGACATCACCTTCTCCATCTGGCACTTGCATTGTCAGCAAAATTTTGAATCATGCCAAAACCACAAATTTCATTCTAATGTAAGCACAAGCAAAAACATCAACAAGACATGCTGCACTGGAAATTAGGCATGGATACTGTGGCTGAAATATGATCAGACAATCATAACATATATACAAAAGAAGACGGAATTGTTGCCGGCACAGAGGGGTTCGTTGCCCGGTGTGCTTCGCGCCAATGAACACACCAGGGTGGAGAAGCAGACAAAATTTATTCAAGAGCTCTGAACAGGCACTAGGAGACCAACATGTCTCAAATCAAGCGCACTGAGACAAGCAGTTTTTCCTTTTTATTCTTTTTTCTCCCCCCCCTTCCTCCCTCTGCAGTAGTTACATTAAACGACCTTGGCTGTGCAGCTTGTTCGTACTGTTCCTTTCTGCAAGTAATCTTGTCCTTCAGCTAGAAGCATGTAGGTTTCCCTTATCACTACCGCTTCCCAGCTGCTGGCCTGTGAGGTTAGTAAAGTTTAACATGCAGGCTTTGGTTCACTTTGGCCTAGGGCGGGGGGGCTTCATAGACTTTTGTGGCCTTCCAACCCCACCTCCCCCCAAGTTACCTAGGGTGATGCCTAGTGACACCAACAGAATGGGGATTTCCTAACATTTGAGTGCTTGACCTTGCAACCGGTATAACACCCTTTTAATAATAATATAAGGGAATAACAGACACTAGAGATAGGTAGGCAGTCTACTAATTTGGGAGGAATCCATACTCATATAATACAGACTTATCTGGTCTCTTAATGGTTTCTGGAAGATTGCCTTTGCTTATTGGAATATGTACAATAGAAATCACAATAACTCATTTTTGTATTTTAGTCTATTTTAATTCTAACTCAGGTCTTTTTAAACCAAGTAATTGCAGCTGGAGGCTTGTTCTGGTTCCACAATAAGATGTAGATGTTACCTAGTTCCATAAAGGGATGAAAAAATAAATGCATAATTTTTTCAGTGTCTCTTTAATTATCCACAGATGCAACAGTGTAGTGATAATACAAACACTCAGAAATTTAGCATCTCAGCAGCCTGACATAGAAGTGCCTTACAGGTGTAAGAGTTAAATTTTGCCATCAGCAGTTGAGAATATGATAGAAATGGAAGGCTAATGGTACATAAATATCTTAGGAACTAAACGGTGTTGATTGTATCTCCTCCACTTTTTAAAACAATCTCAGATAAAACAAGTGTTCAAATAAATATCCTTTATTAAAGAAAAAAATCATTTTTAAGCACCAAAACTGTGAGTATGTTGTTACATCGCATGTACAAGAAAAAGGTGATTTCAGTACTTTGTGTACAGGTTTAACTTTGATAGTAAAAACATGAAATACACAGAATAATTATAATTACAGAAAAGTTGCACTAAAGAAAGAGAGCAAAAGGCAAACAGTCAAACCAATATTTTTTTCTTTTTAGTTTTCAGGTATTGCTAGAAATGCTCACTTAGTTTTTATTTTTTACACTTGTTGCTTAATACTTTAGAACATTGAGCATTATTAGGTATTGTAAATTTGCAGGAGAAGTTTTATAATACAATGTGCATTTAAAATGTCCATTTAAATATAATTGTGTTAAAGACTTTCTTAAAGCCAACCACAATGTGCTAGTGTTTGATTCTATTCGTAATATTGCACAAAGCTAGTGGATGGTGACTCAGTTTTCCATTTGATTATTTCTTGTTTATTCAACCAAGCTAGAAAGTGTCAGTTTTATTAACCCTTTATTCATGCAAATCTGCAGCTTTCTGCATTTCACCTACTTTGAGGTGCTGCACTTAGAAACACAAGATATCTTGTAAAGTAGGCAGCAACCACAGAAATATGTATGGAGAGGTCACAGTGAGTCTGTCTCTAATCACATACCTCTCCACAATGCATGGATGTGAAGACTTGAAAATCAAGCCACTCTACCAGTAAATTAATTACTGTGGAACCTTTGAATTACCAAGCAGAACGTGAATAAAAACCATGATGAATTATTTAAAAACTTGATGCTGTGCTTCGTATTTGTTGGGGCCCTACCCACTGAGACAATAAACGAGCAATATGCTCCCAGTCAAGGTTTTTCTTTTAACAGACACCCCCTTGGTTGGTCTTTTCTATCAGCTGTAGGCAGCCTTTCCTCATTCACATAATTATAGGTCTAATAAAGTCATAAATTGGTCATATTCCATATTTAAAGATATCGGAGAATCCACATGGGGGAATGGAAGGAAGACCATTTGGGTAATATTATGAGGCCCAAGGGCACAAGTTTTAGGAGATGTGAATTACAATAAAGTTCTGTAAATCCCAAGTTGCAGATTCACCATGGTCAAAGCCAGGAATTTTGGACAAAGTCGTAACTGAATGGGCCGTGCAAAGCATAATATAACACCACCCACCCCAAAATACATTGGCATACCCAGCCCCCTCCTAAAAATTCTAACTTTTAATACATGATGTTTTAGGCAGCAACTAAATATAAATTCATTTTGTAGGAAAACTTTAAATTACAGTATATTTATAGGATAAAAACAGCCACTGCTGTATTTTACACAGCATTAGATAGCAATACAGGTCAATGTGCTTCACTATACCAAAGAGCACTTTTTAGAATGAACCTACTGTCCGATATACTCCATTAGCGTTCAGTAAATGCAACATGCTCTCTCAATAAGACGCTTCCAGTTCTTACTGCTTCTCTGTAGCATATTGATTCTCTAACATTATACATAGTATCTTGCTTCACGCTTATGGGATCATTACCAGAAATAATACCGGTAAAGTAAGTACATAAGCTTTACAATGAAAACAGCTGCTTAAACTGCAAGTAACCTTAATTTACAGTTACAGTCTTTAAATTCAGTGCAACAAAGGGAATAAAAGAGAACCTTAACTAATGAAAGTTTCTGCTTCCTCGTCTCAATTGGTTGCATTTCAATAAAGAACCGGCTCAGAGTTTGAAGATTTTTGACTTTACAGAACACGATGCTGAAAGGCAAAGTGATTCTTTACAACGAATCTGATGAAGTCTATTGAACCCAAAGTCCCTGATGCAGCCATTGAACAACACAATATCTGATCAAGTTTACTTATTTTACAGCTGTGTGTTGTAGAATACAGGCTGATAAACTTTTTAAAGAAATCTGTAAAGTAACACTTAAAAAAGAGAAACAAAACTTTCATCTATGCTTTAAAACTAAATCACACTCAAAATACGCAAACATAATATGCAAAAGTGAATAAAATAAGAATGTTAGTCATTTTTAATGGATTTTGGGACCACAGTGAGGGAGGTACAGAAATTCAAATAAATGCTAATCCCATTCCTGATCAAAAGACTATTGTTGTTTACCTTTCATTTTTGGTTGCTCTAATAGAAATAAACCATTTTGATTCCTTTTTCTCACTGCTAAATTCTCAGTCCCCAAAGTACAGTATATACTCATGCTTCTTGAATTTATATGTATTTCAGATTGGGAAATTCCAATTCCTTACCTCAGTGAACCCATTTCACTACCAAACAGCTCTATTTTGAATAAACAAGCAAGTTTTTCTGGCATGTAGAATGCGCAAAAGATGAGCAATTGTTGAAGATCAATGGCTAGGAACAGAACAATTCACCGAATCTGATGTAGTGCATCCATGAAGAGCAAATACTGAAAATCTCTAGTGATCATTTTATGTGCAAGCTTTTTTTCCCTCTTGTACACATGTAAGTATTAATGCCAGCCCCATAGTGATGGTTGCCATGGTCTCTCAAGTGCAGAACTGTTCAATAAACCTACTGTCAGTTACACATGTGCCAAACTAGCAAGGATTGTCAATTTCTCTAACTCTTGTGAAAGTAGTTGGACTTTCCCCATATAACTTCTATTGCAATACCAGTATAAATCATCATCTAAAAGCACTGGGAATATTTTTATGCATGGAATTTTAAATGGCTATTAAATTGAAGAACTGTTTGAAACTGTGACATCCAGTAACTACTTTAGATTCAAATCTGATTTTTAATATTCTCTAGAAAACACACACCTTCTTTCCTTTTTAAAGTTGCAGTTTGAATTTGATATAAACTGTTATGCTCAGCACAGCAGCTATCTTTTGTGTGCATGTGCATAAAATATGATATTCCTATGAATAAGCAATGTATACACACTCAGTCAGGAATCTAATATTTTAACTAAATATAAGTCTATCAAGGACAGGTTTATTTTTAATCATGAACAAGTTTTCAAGGCAAAGTTGACAAATCAACCTGAGAACTCTGTAGTACAACACAGTATAGGGCTATTTAAACATCTCCCTATAAATTTGTGGATAATAAATTTAGTGTAAGGGGAAGGAACATTATTCCTGTTTTTCAAATTACACTATTCATCCCCCACAACTCAAAAATTTTGCCAGTGTTTTATGCACACTGTCCAATTTGCACTTTGGTTTCTTTCAGCAAGAAAAACTGGACATACTTGATGTCACACCATTGCTGTTGGTCTAACCCTCAGCTTCACATACAGTATATCATCCTAATTTGCAGATACTTCTGTTTTGTGCTACAGCTAAAAATTCATACACTGGACCCAGTTTATAGTGTAATGTAATCTGGAATATGGATGCCTGTACACCATCGGCACACAAACTACTTACGTTTATGATCTATGCTAAATGATCACACATGATAAATTTTGAAATGATTAGTTAGATGTAAAACCATAGAAATAAACTGGGAAGAAACTTAGGTTGTCAGGTCCTTGACAAGCTAATGATGGATGTATCATAGAACTGATGCTCTGTCCAAGAAAGATGCTGCCCCAAAAGCTGATACCTGAAGCAAAACTGGTATCATTTCTGAAAAATGCTGCTCATAAGCATTCCTTTTGAAAATGTTTCACTAAACATTATAAATAAGTCAAAAAAAAAATAATCAAGAAAAATGCCTATCAATGCCAAGTATAGAGTGGCAAATTATCTTTCAAAACATGACAGATCTTTATTCAGGACAATAATTGTAGAACAGCCTAAAGGTTCCAAGATGTGAGGTTCATTTTGGTTATGTAACCTATTGCCAAGGTACGTATTCTTGCTCCCACAACTATTTTAAGAAGAACTGTTATAAAAGTTAAAGAGGAATATGTACTCCATTACACAACAGTAGCAATTCATGCATCTGCTTCTAAATGAAAATGAGTACAGTCATTTGTCCTTCATAAAATGAATACTGAACAAAAATACAATTTTGTAAAAGGAAAGGGGTGGTGTGTCTCTCAAACAGTACGTAAAATTTTAATAAAAATAAAACGCTGGTCAAGACTTTCATATAACTTGAGCGTTTCTCAACTAACGAACATTACATGGAGCCTTTAACATAGTACAAGATTACTTCGAACTCTGTATAAGATGTACCTCTAAGTACTCTGGCATTATAAAACTAGCTGCCCGCAGCTATTAGTCATGCAGTTTAGGATTATTTCTTTTTAAGTTCTCACTGTATTGAAAACTGTACCCTCCCCTCCTTTAGAGCCACATACAGCCAGCATTAAATGGAAGTGTAGTTTTCAGCCAAACAGGCTGTTAGGTATGATGTACAATTTTTTGTAGCTACTAAAGGAAATATTAACTACTAACAGAGAAGCATAACTTCCATAACTGGTGTTAATATGCTTAAGTCCTGCATTTCCTTAAATAAGAAAGTAAAGAAGGTTGCTTACAGTAATCAAACAAGAACAGTTCAAGCTAACAGAGAAAAATAATTTTAAGTAGTATCAAATTACAAAATATTGCTTCTTATAACAAATTTGTATGTATGGTATAACTATTAACTCAGTTCATCTCACCTAAATATTACTGTTTAAAAGAGCATGGAAAATCTACTTTTAAAATATAGGGTGCAAGATTATATATGACCTTCTAAAAAGGTGCTGCAATATGCCATGTTAAGTGTACCATATTGTAAACACATACATTCTTAAATACATGTATTCCACTGTTATGGTACTTAGACTGTACAGCCATCTGTTGTTATTTTTCATACTAACATACATTTCTTTGCAGTGAGAAGAATAACTAAAGAGATCTTAGTTGCATCTCTATCTGAATTTTAGCTATTGTGGTACAGCTATTAAATGTGTTTTTCAAGCAGATGATATTTTCAGTGCACTGAAAAGTAGGTTTCCCAGCTGTCCTGATGTTTCAGCTGCATCCCCCAGTAGCTTTATCAATGCAGCATTCTTCCCACTTAAAATGTTCCCTCACTTAACTGGCCATATATACTAACGCAAATGTAAAAAGTGCTTAAAGAATTGAGAAAACATCCTGAAGACCCTTTTCTCATTACAGTTATATAAAATGCATATCTAAACAACTCAGCTTTTTGTCCAACCTTGCACTTCTGGACTGAATAAAAAAAAATCTAGAAAAAAAAAAAAAATACAATGTTTCACGTTTTTTCACATACTCAATCATTTGCCAAAGGAAGCCTTTTTCTACTATGCAGCTGATGGTCAAAATTGCTGGCTTTGAATTTTCTGAAATGAAGAGGAAGATTGATCTCCAGCTATGGGGTATTTTTTGTTGTTGTTGTTTTCCTTTCTTCAGTGGCTGCTAGTCACCTGTGTAAAAAACAAAACAACACAAAGAATAACTGAAAAACATAATTTAATCTCAACTGTACAAATCCCCTCCATTAAATGCATTAAGCAGCATTTTTAAACAGTTAGATTCTCCCTAATTCCAGTGTTTTAGAGCCATCATAGTGGCTCCTAACAAGCCCAGCAACCAGTGTATGGGGCACAGCCAGGGCTTCACTGTGCCCTCTTGGGGTTATTAGCAACCAACACACATTAGAGCACAGTCAGGCTGCTCTAAATTGCTACAGGGGACTGCACTATCACATAGCTAGCCCCAAATCAAGGTAGTCTAGAAAAATCTTAGTCACCCCATCCCTGAGTTGCTCTGGGCATTCCTTGGTCTCAGTTGAGAATCTGGGCTCTTATGTTATTACAGCATTTGACTGATGATTCAAGTCAACACAAACTTCTTTAACATAGACTATGCAATTTTAAAATGAAAAGTGTAAAGGATCTAAAACTTCCAACTGGCTATTTTCTGAGTATCAACAATTTTCTGTGCACCACCGCATCTTCTGGTAGTGATTCAAATGAATGCAGCTGACTCATGTATTGTCTTGTGAGATTTAGAAATTATAGGGAAGACATCAATGGAAAAAATTTAGTTTCAGAAGCTAACCCATATAACAGGTAGTTGGAACCTGTGACAGACCAGATTTAATCTTTCATGTGTTGTTTCACTCTGAATATTTATAACTTTTTCAAATTACAATCTCATCTATAGGACTTCTAAAATAAGTTCTTGTGAAAGTATACAAGGGTTGCTAAAATGCTTAAAATAGTGAATGGATATTCCACTTTTGCCTTTCATTATGGCATAAGCATACAATTAACAGAGGATTATACTCCATGCAAGGAAGTATAAATTAAATGGTTCAGAAAGTGCAAGAGGGGGGACATTTTTTTTTAAAGGGACAGTTTGTGTGATTTAAGGTTTTAGAAACAGGTAATTATTTGAAGACAAAGAAAATATGAATGAGAAATGGAAGTTTCAACTCCCCTCTTAGTGAGTTAGTCTGAGGCGAACACTACATTTTAAAACTAGTAGAGAAACCAAACATTCCACTTTAAATTCTCAGTTTTACAATTCACATGCCTTCTCTTAAAACGTGTATAAATGCTAATTTCCCCTCAAAATTCAAGAAAAAAGCAATACTCCTTTCACTCCACCCTCTCCACAGCTCCCAAATAGGTCACCTTTCTTTTTTATTATACCCTATTTTATAAGCCCCCTGGGACAAGGACTTAGTCTTTGTTTGAAAACACATGCATTTTTAAGACTCTATGAGTAATAAATTAGGATAAAATATCTCTCTCTCTCTCTCAGGGCAATCTATGAAGTACTTATGAACATTGTTACTAGGGCTGTCAAGCATTTAAAAAAATTAATGATTAATCACACTATTAATAATAGAATACCTTTTATTTAAATATTTGTGGAGGTTTTCTACGTTTTCAAATATATTGATTTCAATTACAACACAAAATACAAAGTGTAAGTGCTCAATTTATATTTATTTTTATTACAAATATTTGCACCATAAAAGACAAAAGAAAGAGTATTTTAATTCACCTAATCCAAATACTGTAATGCAATCTCTTTATGATGAAAATTGAACTTACACCCTACAAGTCCAATCAGTCCTACTTCTTGTTCAGCCAATCACTCAGACAAACAACTTTGTTTACATTTGCAGAAGATAATGCTGACTGCTTCTTGTTTACAATGTCACCTGAAAATGAAAACAGGTATTTGGATAGCACTGTTGTAGCCGGCGTTGCAAGATATTTACATGCCAGATGGGATAAAGATTCATATATCCCTTGATGCTTCAACCATCATTCCAGAAGACATGCGTCCATGCTGATGACGGGTTCTGCATGATAACAATCCAAAGCAGTACGGACCAATGCATGTTCGTTTTCATCATCTAAGTCAGATGCCATCAGCAGAAGGTTGATTTTATTTTTTGGTGGTTTGGATTCTGTAGTTTCTACATCAGTGTTGCTCTTTTAAGACTTCTGAAAGCATGCTTTACACCTCGTCCCTCTCAGATTTTGGGAGGCACTTCAGATTCTTAAATCTTGGGTCAAGTACTGTAGCTATCTTTAGAAATTTCACATTGATATCTTCTTTGCATTTTGTCAAATTTGCAGAGAAAGTGTTCTTAAAATGAACAACGTGCTAGGTCATCATCTGAGACTGCTATAACATGAAATATATGGCAGAATGCGGGTAAAACCATGGAGCAGGAGACATACAATTCTCCCCCAAGAAGTTCAGTCACAAATTTAATTAACCATTTTTTTTTTTTTAAACAAGCATCATCAATGTGGAAGCATGTCCTCTGGAACGATGGCCAAAGCATGAAGAGGCATATGAATCCTCAGTGCCATGCAAGTGCCTGTTCTCACTTTCAGGTGAAATTGTAATTAAGAAGTGGGCAGCATTATCTCCCATAAATGTAAACAAACTTGTTTCTCTTAGCAATTGGCTGAACAAGAAGTAGGACTAGGTGGACTTGTGGGCTCTAAAGTTTTACATTGTTTTGTTTTTGGGTGCAGTTATGTAACAAGAAACCCCTACATTTGTAAGTTGCTCTTTCATGATAAAGAGATTGCACTACAGTATTATGAGGTGAACTGAAAAATACCATTTCTTTTGTTTCATTTTTACAATGCAAGTATTTATAATCAAAAATAATATAAAGTGGTCACTGTATACTTTGTATTCTATAACTGAAATCAATATATTGGAAAATGTGGAAAAAATCCAAAAATATTTAATAAATTTCAATTGGTATTCTATTGTTTAACAGTGTGATTAATCATGATTAATTTTTTTTGAGTTAATTGCGCGAGTTAACTGTGATTAATCGATAGCCCTAATTGTTACACATCCACTATATTTTTTTCCCCCCAAACCTTTACTGCTATTTGGAATTATAACTAAGTTATCCGTATTGGAGGAAAGAAAGCATTTACAAACCATTTTACCATCTTCCTTATAAGGAAGAGACGTATCCAAGATCAACCAAAGGGACACCTTTCTACCAAGTCAGCTCAGATTTTATTCTAATTTATCACGGACTGAATTTTTCTTAGTGAGGGCGATTCTTTTAAAATTGTTTTATCCTCAGACTGTAGTTATAAAGGGAAATCCCTTTATCCTCATTGTATACATTGAGTAAACTGTTATTCATTCATTGCTTATTTTCCCTTTTAGTTAATTCTTTTCTTTACCATGTATTGTATTAATTTAAAGATACTTTCTCTATTTCAAACATATAAACTATCAGATTTAGCCTTAAGGCTTTTGAAATATTAATTACAGTATAAAATTTAGCTTATACAGATTTAAGTGAAGATGATTGTTTCATAATATCTGCCAGTATACAATGTATGTCCATTTACAGTATAAAATACCTTCTTGTAATATATTTTGCCCCAGAGATGTAATTTTAATCAACAATGTCATCCTTTTAACAGGTCCTGGCATTAAACTGATTTCCTTGTACTAGAAAACATGCTCTGAAATTTCTGCAGTAGACCATTATTTAAAGTACTAGGTAATTAATTCTGTTAAATCAATTTATACATTCAAATCAAGTAGGGTCATGTCTGTGAAAATAATAGTAATTCAGCAGAATAGTGTTACATATGTTTCAGTCTATATTCAGTCTAATCAGATTATTTCATACAATTCCTCAGCATAGCCTAGTTTTTGTAAGGTGTGTTAGTTTTTAAACACAAACCATTACAAATCTATCAAAAACCTGTCAGTTACAATTACATCCCACTGAAGTATTTTCATGATAACAGAGTGTGGAGGGGGTAGAATGCAAATGCCAAATGTGTGTATAAGTCTCTGCGGAACTTAAGAGTCTAAATTCCATAAGATTCTAAGCACCTTCAACTTACTTACAGTGAGAGTATTTAAAGTTCAGATAATGTTTAGCTTACAAAAGAAGATGGCAACTGGTGCCCTATCAATACCTCAGATTAAAAAAAAGGGAAGGATTTTGAGGAAAGCAGTTTACAATATCCTGAGGTATTAAAAAGTATTCTTCCCAAGAGGAAAACAAGATTCAAAAAGACGTAATTAGGTTTACAAATCTATTACATAAAACCAAATCACTGAAATAGGTTTGGTAAAATGTCTTGGAAGAGTGACAGAAGAATGAACACGCTAAAAAGGTAATTCAGCCCACATCATCATCTTTGATTATAACAATGGCCATAGGAAATCATGAGGGACCCAAACCTGCAATCATTGTGAAGTTAATAATAGTTTTGAGGCAGGTGTCAGATCCTGAGTGATCAACAACTGTAGTGAGAGCCAGGCAGCCCTGCAGATCATACCAGCTTTTGACTGTGCATTCCATCAGCATGCAAGCATATCTGCGCCTTTGGATTTAAGACCGTTTCAAAATTCCTAGCAATAAAGCTGGATCAGGAGAAATACAGTAAAACTAAATCAAATAGATCAACTGATATGGCTCTCTAGTGGCTAATCTACCAGTGAGGTAACTGTTTATTTTCCTTTTTTAAAATTTAGAATAGGCTATTAAATTGGCATAACAATTTATTTAATAGCTTTAATTTAGTAAAGATTTGTAATCACAGTAAAATACTACAGGTTGTTTGTTTTGCTGGGCTACCATCTCTTTTTAATACCTGTGGTACTTGCACTAAATTTCATTTCCCAGCTGTGGCAGTGTCCCAAAAGCTCTCAATCTCTGGAGTGCATTACTGCTTAATTATTAACATACAAATGGGGTGTCTTTTACTACCACTATAAGTGGTTTGAATGCAATATGTATTATTTATTCCCTTTAACTCACTATACACCTTGGGAGAGTCCATTTCTAAGAAAGTTTTTGAAATAAGTTCTTTAGAGATCCTTGTGGCTTTCTCCTTGATCTAGATTTACATTTTTATTTACTTATAAATATATTTATTTGAATCTTTTATTTTTTATTTAAATATGGCCATGTTCTATCAGCAGACTTGCTACAGAAATACAGCACTCTGTCAGTCCAGTTTACAGGAGTCGCACAGAAGAATCTGTGTCTTTTGACTACCACCACAATCTTGAAAATTAAAATTCCTTGGCTATTTCTGCATTGTTCTGAACTCACTAAAACTAGCTATCTTAAGTCTAAGTTCTGTTCTTGTATCACATCTAACTACAATGCCTGGAAATTTGTGGGGTATTTTATGAATAGTAGAGGTGTAAATTATACTGGCATATTTACTGTTTATGATTTAGAAATCTAATCAGACTGTTCACAGATCTGAAAGAAAGCTATCAAAAAGCCACCCACCAAGAAGCCAGACAGACAGGGTAGCCAACAAGATTTCAATATGCTTAGTAGTCAGATCTAATCTTCTTTGACTTGTAATTATTTAGCTTTAAGTGGGAAATACACTGGATTTTTACACATCAGAAGCAATTAGAAAACATTTGACATTAGTAAATGTAGGGGTATATTCAAGAGTGATTTTGTTGCATTATTATTTCTGAAAGTCCTTTTCAGTCTTATAAGGTACAGTCTGGTCAATATACTGAGGTTTAGGTTTTTTGTGAGGACAATTTCTGTCTCTGATTTAGCAAAAAATTTTTACAAAAAAAATTTCTGGCAACAGTCCAGAAATATGTTTCTCTTATTATAAATATAACTCCCTTTGAAATGCCAGTGGTTCAGATTAGATATGCACATTTTTACCAGTTTATGTATACTGCATGATTTAGGCACACTCCTAAATCTCCTAGACTTTCTAGCCCAAGCTCAGCAGGTATTCCTAAAAAAGCACCAACAAAATAAAATTTAATTTTTAAAAATATAGGAAATTTACAGGTTAATTTTCCCAGTCTGTGCAAGTCAAACTCTCCTCTTCATCTTCTGATTCAGGTGATGCCTCCTTAATTCTTCGCAGAGCTTCATGGATGCTACGTGTTAAAGGGTCAGTGTCAGGCAGAATTGTAAAAGACTCTCTCAGAACATCTTTCTGCACCTTCTTCAGTTTCACCCCTTTCCTTATCTGTGCCAAGATGTTATTGCTGTCATCTTCATCAGGGAAAGGAGGGAGATTTCTCTGCTCAACCTTTCTTAGGTGAAAACTACCACGCTTCAACGAAGCCAGCACCTCATCCATTGGGGAACTCACTGCAGCAAATCAAAAGACCGAGTTAGTATTAAGTTTAATATATTTACACATTTCAGCATCTTCATTTTTATTTCCTATATGACAAAGGGTACTTACCACAGCAATTTTGCATCCTAAATAGAGGGAAAACAGTGGTATTTTAGATACCACCATGTAACCGTTGGTAAGTGCTAACTTTCTAATGGTGTTTTTATCTTTTTATTTTTCTTTACTGGCAAGAAGAAATTATATTTATACTGCGAACACTATAATATGACTTCTGAAAACCAAATAACATCAGCATATGGTATACAGTATGGCTACTTTGGCAGGTAAGTTTTCGTGCCTGCAAGACAACAATCAGTTACAAAATCAAAATACATTATGATGTCTATTTCCTGTGGCTGAAAGTCTGATAGTGAGCACATAACTTAACTGACTGGACTGCATACTCTGTGTAATGCAAGCACCAGAGGAGAAACTGAATTCTCAGGACATGCCTGAGGTAGCTAGTTTGTATCCACTGCATGACTTCTACTACAAACCATTGAGGAGTAGCAGATGTGGTCAGCTGCAACGGCATATATTTCCCTCTCTTCCAATCTGAAATGCGGCGGTTTTGGCCAGTGGATTTGCACAGTACTAATCCCAGCCTTCTCAAACGCCCCCCTCCCCTGTAACTAAAGTAAGTAGAGCAGCAATTTAGCTATGTTAAGGCATAGAGTGCCTTTACAGTCAACCTGCAGCTTTACTCCCCTGTGAAACGAACATGGTATTTCAACTGGATTCTGGCTTTGCAGATTTACAGATTAGGTGGAGGCCAGGATTAATGTGTGTCAAAAAAAACAACAACAAAAAACCAGCATAGTATCTTCAATACAACAATGGGAACTAGCTATGTACCAGCATACCATATCCAAAGTGAAACATTTATCCATAGCTGGAAAACTCTCTCCAATTCTCCTAAGTGTATTGTGGAATACACTTTTATGACATCCTTTGTTATCCATTTGTGGATTTCAACAATCCTGAGTTTGGACAAGCATTTTTATTTACTGATATATTTGCTGTGATGGGGCCCCACATTTGGAAGTGAGAGGTGAAGCTTCCCTGGCAAATCAACATTATAAAGACTCAGCTCTCAGAAGCTACTTAGAAGTTTGGAATGTTAAATAAATCCAATGGGAGATGGATTAGTGGGGAGAGTGCATATGCAGAAGTCAAAGATAGTCTTGGAGAGGAGAAGGTAGATTTATAGTTTTTATATTATGTTACACAATGTAACGTGTGCAATTTGTTTTTATGTTTTTATTGATATTAGGGCTGGAAAACAATTGAAAAATTCTGATTTATCAAGAGATTAAAAAATAATCGCAATTAATAGCAGTTTTAATCACACTATTAAACAATAGCATACCATATATTTAAATATTTTTGGATGTTTTCTACATTTTCAAATATATTGATTTAAATTACAACACAATACAGTGTTCAGTGCTCACTTTATATTATTTTTTATTACAAATATTGCATTGTAAAAGAGGTAAATCAAAGAAATAGTTTTCAGTTCACCTCATACAACTACTGTAGTGCAATCTCATTGTGAAAGTGCAATTTACATAATTTAACTCAAAAATAAAACAATGTAAAACTTTAGAGCCTACAAGTCCACTCAGTCCCCCTTGTTCAGCCAATCGCTAAGACAAACAAGTTCGTTTACATTTTTGGGAGATAATGCTGCCGGCTAGTTATTTACCATGTTACCCGAAAGTGAGAACAGACATTCCCATGGCACTGTTGTAGCCAGCATTGCAAGGTATTTACCTGCCAGGTATGCTAAACATTTGTATGCCCCTTCACGCTTCAACCACTATTCCAGAGGACATGCTTCCATGCTGATGACAGGTTCTGCTCAATAATGATCCAAAGCAGTGTGGACCAACGCATGTTCGTTTTCATCATCTGAGTCAGATGCCACCAACAGAACATTTTCTTTTTTTGGTGGTTCGGGTTCTGTAGTTTCTGAATCGGAATGTTGCTCTTTTAAGACTTCCAATAGCATGTTCCACACCTCATTCTGCTCAGATTTTGGAAGACACTTCAGATTCTTAAACCTTGGATCCAGTGCTATAGCTATCTTTAGAAGTCTCATATTGGTACCTTCTTTGCGTTTTGTCAAATCTACAATGAAAATGTTCTTAACTCAAACAACATATGCTGGATCATCTTCTGAGACTACCATAACACGAAATATATAGCAGAATGCAGGTAAAACCATGGAGCAGGAGACATACAATTCTTCCCCAAGGAATTCAGTCACAAATTGAATTAATGCATTTGCAATGGCGGCTACAACAACATTATCTTCCATAAATGTAAAACTCATTTGTCTTAGAGACTGGCTGAGCAAGAAGTAGTACTGAGTGGACTTGTAGGCTCTAAAGTTTTACATAGGTTTGTTTTTTAGTGCGGTTATGTTAAAAAAAAAAAAATCTAAGTTGCATTTTCCTGAGAAAGAGATTACACTACAATAGTTGTATGAGGTGAACTGAAAAATACTATTTCTTTGGTTTATCTTTTTATACGGCAAATATTTGTAATAAAAAATAATAATATAAAGTGAGCACTGTACACTTTTTATTCTGTGTTGTAACTGAAATCAATATATTTGACAATACAGAAAAACATCCAAAATATTTATAATACATTTAAATTGATATTCTATTATTGTTTAACAGTGTGATTAAAACAGTGATTAATCATGATTGATTTTTTAAGAGAGTTAATTTGTTTTGAGTTAATTGTGACTGACAGCCCTAGTTTATATATAACTGGATATCAAATTACACATGCAATTAGAGATTGGACTGGTAGCCCCATATTATTAAGGTTGCCTGCTGCTTTCCATTATTAGGTTCTGTTTTCAGTTGCTTATAAACTTTACTAAACCAAGCATTTGGGTTGATAATTTCCATATCGGGTGTCTGCCGCAAGCTCAATTTCTTTGGAAAATTTCACCCAAAATGGTTTAGCTGCTTCTGAGAACAAGACTGAGGCAAAAAACAAAACCTAGTGAGCTTTTTGTAAGAAAAGTCTAGCATCGCTATGCTTTGGAGCAGGGACTTGGGTTTTGTGTCAGAGATATGCCTTTTGAAGTCCCTCCGCATCTGTGAAAATCCGCCCAAATTTGGTCAAGCTAGCTCAGATTTTTCTAAAGATAAACACATAAGGGTACATTCTAAGCTTGTCATCTGATCTGCTTATGATGTGTTGAATGGTCTCTCTGCAGTCACAAAAAGGGGAGTCTTTGGTTTTCCACTTGTGCATTAAGGATAGCTGCACCTTTCATGATTGTGATCTAAAGTCTGTGTGGAGGGTTGAAATGGGAGGGCGGCTTGTTGAGTCAGTAATACTGTGCTTGTTTGAAATGGTAAATGCAGTCCAGTCACTTTGCCATTCCCTGGCCGGATCCAGAGACATGAGATGGTCATATGTGATCCATAGTGGTTTTTGCAATTTCAGGTGTTGTTGGGGTATGTTATCTATAACCTGGCTGGATGGGAAGTTCTGGGTAGCCTTTGGCACAATTAAGTTCTTGTGCTGTAGTTCTATCTCAGTGGTTGAAGGTTTGATGTTTGCAAATACTGAAAGCTACAGTAGAGGTGCTGATTTTAAAATTCCCATGATGATTTGCATGGTCTGATTCAGCTGACTACCCACAAATTGAGTATGGCATCTTCTTGTCCACACTTGTGCACAGTACTCAGCAACTGAGTTCACCAAGAGAGGGCTAGAAGCAAAATTTATAACTAATAAGTCCTATGGTGCATATATTGTAACTGCTACACTTCTCTTAGTGAATAACTGACAGCGGTTACAAGCTCTGTCAACTATCATATTTTTCACCGGGTGACACCTGTAAGTGTCTTCAGTGCCGGCCTAGACCAAATGGCACCCCAGGTGAGGAATATCTTCGGCATCCTCCCCTCCACTTGTATACCCACAAGGGCACGGCTGACAACATTCTAGGCGGTTCAAGGAAAATGTAGTTCTCAGGAAGTCTGCAAGGTTCCACAAGATTCTACAAAGGTCCAGAACATTCTAGGGGGTTAGTGAAAAACAAATCCACATACGGAATACCTGAAACATTTTACTTCCATCATTCTGTTTTTCCTTTTGTCACTAACAACAAAAACAGCACCCTGAGCCTGGTACCCCAGGCGATCACTTGCCCCTAAATCTGGCCGGGAGTGTCTTACTAGACCCAATAATGCTCCCGGAGTTTGACCAAAAGTAGCTGAAATATGTTTAAACCTAACTTAAGAGAACTAATCCTATATATACACATTTGTTGTACCTTTGTGTGCCAAGCAGTTTGAATGCATCAGAATGTTGAGGACATTTTCCAAACATTGAAAAAACTGCTTTAAGCTTGACTAATATACTTCAATTGTCCCAAAAGTTTCCTTTCTAGTTTCAGACCGACCACTAGGAATTTCAGGCCAAAAGAAGTTTTTGGAAAAATCCAAAAAGGGAGTTAAAAACAGACAAAGTTACAGAAACTTACAGAATTAACTGCCGAGGCATTAGTGTAATTCCATATTAATACTAAACAAACGTAATTATACTCTTCATTTCACACAGATTTTGCAATCCCTAAAATCAATGTAAAACAGAATTCTAGAGAGTAAGGATCATCCCACCTAGAAACACATTGGTATATTAGACCCCAATCATGCATGGAGTTTCATGTAGGCAGAGCTCTGGGGCACAGCTGACTTCAATAGAAAGCTGCCCAGGTGCATGGGTCTCCACACACGGACATCCTTGCAGGATCAGAGCCTTTGTGTGCTTACAATAGTAGAGAATTTTTGTGTGGATGGTAGAAGTAGTTAAAAGCATCAAGGTAATGGTAATATTCACCTTTGCCACACACCGATCAACCTCAAGAAGAGTCTGTGCTGACATGCCCATGATGTCAGACACCTGACAACACCTTTGTGTGTAGGGAGATTTAGAAGTTCTTGCAACACTACGGAATTTTGACAATGAAGATAATTAAAGATTTGTACCCAAAATGTATAAATTGGTCAAATGCATAAGTTTCATTCAGACTTAACTTACAATCTGTTTGAACTTTACAGATTTGGGTCATGGACAAATCTGGAGAACACTTTTTGAAAACAAAAATGTTTGTCATGTGAGTCAAAAAAAATGGACTGTTGAATCTACTTCAGACTCAAAATATCTTGTGGTCTCATTCACCACAAGAAATTTCAAAAGATTTTTTTTTTTTTTGGAAGGAGTTAGGTGCTTAACAATAAGGATTGCAAATAAAGGCTCCATGGAGTCACTACCATAGCTCTATGCATGAGGCACAAAAGGAGTTTCACTTACATGTGACTACTTCTCAGCACACTTTTAGTTAAGGTTAATTAAATCACAGTATTGGCACAGAGCCAAAAGGGTAGGTATTTTAGAAAACAAACTTTGCTAAATGAAAAGTACAAAGTGTGAAATCCTGGCTCTATTTAAGTCAATGGGAAGACTCCTATTGACTTCTTGGAGCAAGGATTCCATCCCAAGTTGGTATGGAAAGACTATTTTCCCATGCTTCCCAGAGGAAACAATGAAAATTAAGTACTAGAATTTTAAAATTCATCACCTATTTTTCAATATTTATTCAATTTCTAACTAGCAATCTGTGGTGGTTATTCAAAGCTGCCAACACCAACTGGGTTGGTGGAAAGAGAAAGGATACACAAAGGTGGCAGGATGAGACAGATAAGGTAAGTACTGCAATTGAAGTTTTTGCACCCATATCTGATCTAAAGACGTCTGTTATATAATGTCTGTCAACTGAAAAACTGACTGCATCCTCAAGTGCAATTTGCAGTTTATGTGGAGTTACATATAACTGAATCAACAGCATACACTACAGTACAAATTCCCACCACATGAGTTCACCAAACTTTTCAGTCGAGGGCATTAGAACAAGTGTTGCATTGCTAATTATACGTAAAATCCAACATACCCTTTTCTACACAGCAATCAAAAAAGGGGGAAACAATGACAAGTACATTCCTTAGCAGTTAATTATGTTTAAATAAATATAAACAAAAATATTACCTCTCCTCCTTTGTAAACCCTCTAGATCTGTCTTCTTAAGTTTCTTCTTGGCACTGACTAACTGACTGCTATCAAAAAGATGTGCTGATGGGACAGTGGTAGACTGTGGGATTCCTGTATCCTCACTCTCCTGTTTAACAGGGCTGTCACTTTTCTCTAAGGAGTCAGTAGAATCTTCCTTGATAGGCAGAGGCGGCGGTGGTGGCGGTGGCGGCAAAGGAGGCGGATGTGGAACTACAGTAACAGTATCTGGTTGAAGCTCATTACTGGCAAGAATTGGAGGAGTAGCATGATGAGACAGTTCAGAGGTAATGCCATTGGGAGGTAACGAACTATCTTCAAGTTGTTCTAAGCTTCTGGGCTCCTGGGTTTGGAAAGGCTGGATTACTTTTCCTGATTCCACCTCCTCAGTTTTCTTTTGGATCTGTGTAGTTACTGGTAGAGATTGAGGTTGATCTACACAGGGCACTGAGCTGGGTGTACTACTACTTCTTGCATGAGCCAGTCGCAGTCTGGTTGATTTAAGTATTACTTGCCCAGGGTACCGCTAAAAGGAAACAGTTATTTAAAATTAGATAAGTGTATGCAATATACTATACTAGAAACTAAAGAACTGTGATCAGGTGATTTTGCCTTTGTGACAAGGAAACTCACTTTAATATTTTTGTTCTTTACTTTGCTTTTGTATTGCACTGGAATTACATAGGAGGTCTCTTGCACTGCAGTACATTTTCAAAAACACATTTCAATAAAATGTGCCAGCATATGGCAGCACAGTGGTGTACCATGATATATATAGATATAGATATAGCTATAGATAGATATAGATATATAAGGAATGTCATAGTTTAATGTTTTGCAAACATGTAAATTCATCATTCCCAGATTATGACTTCCACATATTGCAAGCCTCCACCTTCTCCTCCCCTAATTCATACCAGGTGGTGATAGACATGCACATTCCTCAAAAGGTTATAAATGCTGCACCACTGGGATTATCCCAGTCATCTTCTCTCCTCTTTATGTAACTACTGGTTACAGCAAAGACCGGAATGGCAGAAAGATCCTACATTCTAATCAAGGGTGATCCATTGTCTCACTGTGAGGTCTTGGTCAACTCAATCTTTGTGCTTAAGTCAACTCAGGGATGCAAATGGACAGACATCATACTTCTCCAAGAACCAGACTCTTCATCTAAATTAATGGTTCCTGGAACATAAAAAAATACAATCTTCCTTCTCCCCCCATAAAACAGGCCAATGAGTTGCACTGGAGCATGTTCAGGCCAGCAGGTCCGATGAGCTGATCTCAAACGCAGCATTGTACTACTTACTCAGACAACAAGAAAACCTTCAACACTTTTCAGTAGTTCTCTTCTACTGGCACTCCAAATACTAGAATTTTTTGTCAAAGATGAGTTTTCAAAGTGGTCTTAATCTGGCTTCTACATTTGCCCCCCCCAGTTTGTGTCCTTGCAAATTGTAACTGTTTATACAAACTGTTGAAGGTGAAATTAAAGGCTGCTTTTGAACACTGGGCCCAACGTGTATTTTTTTTTAAATTACCACAAATGACTTAAAACATAACATTTTTACAAAGCTACACAGATCCTATCCATATGGATATACTATACATAATGTAGCCGTTAATTACTTGATTAATATCCCATTGCTTCAATGTGTGAATTTACTAGTATATAGAAGTTGTAAGTTTCCAGCAGCCTTGCAAGCAATTCGGATGGAAAGACTCATTTTTATATCACTACTAAACAAGATTTCTTGCTAACAATAGAAATTCTCCAATGTTATTACTTGTTCAGTCTTAGATTCATAGGCCAGGAACCATTAAAAGGAGTTAACATTGTGTCATTTCCTTGTACTCTCGTCTGCATCCATCTGTTGTCTCTTGTCTGGTATTAGGCTGTAAGCTCTTTGAGACAGGGACTTTTAGGAAGTATGGTAATGCAAATAACAGGTCACATGATCCAATACATGTGTAAAACAACACCTGGATTATATCTATAAGGAAAGGAAAGACCCTGCTTCAGCTCCTGATTATTTTCCTGTAAATATTAAGTAACTAAGAAGAGAAACTGAGAAAGATGGAGGTTAAGCACAGAACTATGCTACAATACATCCAAAGAACTTTATCTAATGCTGTACCTTATTTCCTCTTAAGTCTTAGGCTATGGGAATTTTAACACCTATTCCCAAAATGAATGCTTTAAGTATTTAAAGAAGAACAGATCTCTCTCAGGGTATTACCAGAATATAACTGAAGCGTATTTTTAAAAATAAATGCTACACGATGGTGAAAAGTGGTCATTTCTTCTGTTACCTGTTTAAACGTGCGAAGTCTGTCCAGTGTTTTCTGTCGCTCCTGACTAACCCAGGAGCTCTTTCTTTCCTCTTCATCTTGCAGCTGCTCTTGCTTCTAAGAAAGGACATCAAAAACACATCAGTTACTATGTATAGAACAACATTCATCATAAGAATTCCAATTCAAGGTATTGTTGAGGTCAAGAGCTTATCAGGATTCTACTCTTATCAAGATTAGATATGTATATGAATAACAAGAATATCCTGAGTTATAAAAGTAAACTGAACAAGAGGGATAGCTCAGTGGTTTGAGCATTGGCCTGCTAAACCCAGGGTTGTGAGCTCAATCCCTGAGGGGGCCATTTAGGGATCTGCAGCAAAAAGCTGTCTGGGGGTTGGTCCTGCTTTGAGCAGGGGGTTGGACTAGATGACCTCCTGAGGTCCCTTCCAACCCTGATATTCTATGATTCTAAGAATTTTGAAAGGTGTATAAACTCTCAAACTTCAGGGCATAAACCAACCTTTAATTTTTGGGAGCTAGAAGTATACTCCCCTGGGGACTAGTTATCCCATAACTGCTTACTGCAGATTCTCTCTCTCTGAAACAGCCAATATTAGTCACTGTCAGCGATAACATATAGGACTCAATGGGCCACTGTTCGATCCCGTTTAGAAGATCCTATGTTAAGTAATTAAACTCAACTAAAAAAGTAATTGCTTAAAAAAATCAAGTGTGCTTTGGCATTCACATTCTGACTATGAAACAGGTTACCTGTAAGGAATTAGTGCAGTTGGAAGATTAAATGGATTTAAAGGCTCCCTAATGAGACCTCAGGTTTCAAATTTATTCTCAATTTATGCTGCTACAAAACTGATCTAATAATAAATAATCTTAATTTGCCAACAAAATTCAGCAAAACACATTCTTTATAATATAATATAATATATGGAGATATCCTATCTCCTAGAACTGGAAGGGTCATTGAGTCCAGCGCCCTGCCTTCACTAGCAGGACCAAGTACTGATTTTGCCCCAGATCCCTAAGTGGCCCCCTCAAGGATTGAACTCTCAACCCTGGGTTTAGCAGGCCAACGCTCAAACCACTGAGCTATCCCTCCCCCACCCCCTTTGGCTCTAGATGTCCACTACTAGAAAAGCAGGAGTGCAAATGCTGGCTGAACTACATTAACAGAAGTGTGAGAAAGATTGCACAGCATTGCCAATGTCATCCTTGGCTCAGATTGGACTATTGGTCCCCTGCTTTCATATGTTTAGAACTGAATTTAGGTGGTTAAGAAAAACGATGAGCAAACAGAAAACTATTAGTTACATTGATACGTGCACAGTCTACACACTTGTGAAAAGTGAATCAATTTAATGGTTCACTTTTTCTGGTGTAAAAGAATTCTTTTAAAACCCATTTGCAGTCAAATTAAAGATAAAGTAGGTTTGGTCCCGTTCTCCTCCCCCCCGATAAAAGTATTTGCATTGGCAACTGTGAAGATACATATTGCAAAATTTTGTATGAGAGGAAGCAGTTCAACTCCCTCAATCCCAATCCCAATCTGCTATCCCTCAATATGTGACTGCCAAAAGACAATGCAAGCACAAACAGAAATACCAATTAATTCATACAAATATTACAGGAGGAACTGGTGGCACTGCCTTTTTGAAGGTTGGCCAACACCTCCCATTATAAGACCTTGTTTTCAGTTATTTGTAAAAAACTTTGCCAAACTTTTACCATTTGTGCTAAAGTTTTCCATACTAGGTATCTAACTCATGCTGAATTTGTTGGTGTTTTAGTCAGAACAGTTTAGACATTTCTGAGAACTAGGCAAGGGAAAAATATTATTTTGCCCATGTTAAAAGCTTCTGGCAACTCTGTCTATGAAAAGTGTTAGTGCCAGGCTTTGGAGTGGGTACCTGAAATTTGGCAGGGATTGGCCTTTGTGTGAGAGAGATACTTTTGCCATCCTGGAGAAAACCGATCCAAATTTGGCCAAGTTATAAGTCTATGAAAATAAACTGCACAAATTCTAGAGATTTAGATTTTAGTAGCTAAACTCCCTGAATATTCACCAAGCATGCTCGAGCCTCTTAGTTCTTAGTACTGACCAGACTGTGCATACACCGAGCATACTCCACCAGAATTACAGGGGCAGAGCTGGACCTTCCTTGTAACTGCTGCTATTCTTGGCTGGAGTGGCTGGGCAGCAAAAATGACAACGGGGGGCTTCTCTCTTCTATACTCTCAATAATGCCCCTTGTCTGGTACCCATGCAGCATGGAGGAGGAAGCCACCTGACTTGAATGCACAGGGGACAAGAGCCAGACTGGAGGTGGGGGAGAGGAAGAAATGCAAAGGATCAATTTGGAATGGAGGAGAGTGGGAGGAAGTGAGCGGAACAGAAACTGTCACTGGGATTTGGTGGGAGGAAGGAGTCTGGGAGCCAATGGGGGAAATGAGGATGAGGGGTTGGGAACCAGTTGTCCAGGGATGGAGAGGTCACTGAGATCAGCCAACGAGCTAGAGTGCAGAGCCGAACTGGGACTGGCTGGGCAGGGAGATTGAGAATGGGATGAAAACCGTGAGGAGTGGAGACAGACTGGGACAGCAAGGTGTAGGGGGCTAGGGCAAGGAGCCCCAGGCAGGAAAGAGACAGGACTGGGACAGTTTGGAGGGACCAGGACAGAAGGCATCAAGTTTGGGGTGGGATGAGGAGGGGTGAGGTGAGAGAGAGAGGTGTCTGTGCCCACAAGAAAATACTCCTTCCAAAGCCTGGAACAGAACCCAAGATTCCTGAGTTTCACTATTCCTCTGCTGTCAGCAATGTCTGGGAAACCCCCTGGTAAAGCGTCTCTCATCCCTCTCCAGTGTGTCCACATACAAGACAAGATTCACTGGCTGTTTAAATATAAAAGAAATCCTTCCTAAGCTTTTCCAAGTTATATTATTTCACTGCTTTTTGCAAAATAACCTTTCAGCAGTTAATGGCAGTGATACTACTTCATATTCATAGACCACCATAATTTGCCAGTCTTGCCTAACTGGAAGAAAAATACCTGTTTCTTTGCAATTGTTTCTTGCAATTTACTTAAGATACTGTACCAGAGAGACCTCAATATTGATGGAAAATGATATTAAATTATAATTTTTTGATGATAGGTCATTACAAACTTGTCTGCATCTTTACTGACTAATAAGACATAGCTACAAGCAGGTTATAGCCACAATACGTGAAAATAATAATACATAACTAACTAAACTTAATATGTCACAAAATGCTCAGTCTAATCAAAGAAATTCCATGAGGTTTCTGTTGGTCTCCCAACGACAAGCAAATGCCAGGAAGATAACTCCTTAACCATGAACCCATGTTTATTACCCCTAAGAGTTTATACTATGAAAAACCTAAGCTACTCTTTAAACCACCAGGAAAAAACATTTGTAGTTGGAATATTTTAAACCTTTCTTTATTTCTTAAATGTTTTTGAGATGCATACTTGCAAATACGTTAACCAAATGCTAAGCTCCTAATATCATTGCTACATAAATGGTAAAATGCTTTATGTACCAAGATGGACCTTGCTAACTAATCACTAATGTAAGAAGCTATTAAAGTATAGGCTATTTATATTCAGGGGGGAAAATAATTAATTAATGGCAGTACTCAAGGAATTCTCACACCCAATTCAAGAAGACAAGAATCATCATCTTTCTAAAAATTGTCACATAGAATCAACAACTTCATTAATAACTGTTTAAGCCAAAGACTTTGTTTTGAGAACAACAACAAAACAAAAAACAAAAACAAAAAACTTTTCTATAAAAACAGGAAGAGTTTCTGGAAACAATTTCATTTCTTGCTGAACTCCAATACCTTTATACATTAATGAACTACATAGTCATAAGATGAAGAGGCCTTCTAAGGACAACCCATGGAAGTAATCAAACAGTGAAGGGGTGACAGCAACCAACTTTGAATCTAAATAAATCTGAAAGAGATATGTTTTCCTATAATTTTATGAAAATAGGAAGAAGGGTATAAAACACACCCTCTGCTACCCTGCTCAAACATGGTACTCAATATAATTCATTCTGCCCATCTCTACAAGCAAGCTACCACAGACAGCTACGAAAGAGAAGACTCAAGAAGAAACAACCACATGAAAACCTCACCAAGATTTCAGCATGGTTTGGTGAGAGAACATTAACTAAAACATTGCCAAGTGATTAGATTTAAAAAACTCTTTTAATGATTTTTATTGGGATGTAAAAATGCTGCTGTAACTTAAAATATTAACAGTTTTTCCTGTTAATTACAAGATGGTTAAACCATGTATTCTCAAAGAGGGGACAGGGACTAAACATTGGTAAACAGAAGAATAGTGGATTTAAGTTTGCTGATATTTGTAACTGGTCTATTTCAAGACAGCTCCTTTCATGGCTTCTTCTAAATAGCTAATTTACATATTTTTGTTGATTTCCGAGGATTTAACTTCGATTGTTTACTATCACCATCTATAAAACTGACTGGTTTTTATTAATAACTGGACAAGTCCCACCTGCCCTTAAACAAATTGTTTTGCTCATACATAAACAGTTTTAGTATCTAATAAGATACTAACAGTAAACTTACTGTAATTTTGGGAAACAATATAATTTTGTCTTAATTTAAGAGAAAAATGCTCCCCAGAGGCGGTTTACTTTCGAGGGTTTAATTTCTTTTAAAAGCTCTCCACACAGACACAGCCCTGGTCTACACTACGAGTTTAGGTTGAATTTAACAGCGTTGCATCAATTTAACCCGGCACCCATCCACACAACTAAGCCTTTTTTTTTTTTGACTTAAAGGGCTCTTAAAATCAATTTCTGTACTCCTCCCCTGACAAAGGGATTAGCGCTGAAATCGACATCGCCGGGTCGAATTTGGGGTAGTGTGGATGCAATTCGACGGTACTGGCCTCCAGGAGCTATCCCAGAGTGCTCCATTATGACTGCTCTGGACAGCACTTTGAACTCAGATGCACTAGCCAGTTACACAGGAAAAGCCCCGGGAACTTTCGAATTTAATTTCCTATTTGGCCAGCGTGGCTAACTCAGCAGCACTGGTGACCATGCAGTCCCCCCAGAATGTGTCTACGTTCCCCCTATCATCTCTGTCCCTGAGGTTATCGCAGATTAGAAGGCAAAAAAACCGCACTCGCGATTACATGTTTTCCAAGCTCATGCAGTCCTCCCGCACTGATAGGGCAGAGCGTAACGCATGGAGGCATTCAGTGGCAGAGGCCAGGAAAGAATTGCTGTGGTTGCTTAACGGCAAAAGTATTATGCCTTGCTAGCGATCCTGCCCAAGCCAGGTCGCTGTGTCAGCCTTGGGCGGGGGCATGACCGCTTTGTGAGCAGGAAGGCCATAGATATAGACATTGCATTAGGTAGCTTCTGTAGCTAGAGAAAACATTCCTGTGCATTTGGCAAAGTCTGCAGCAAAAGAAGAGAAGCCCCCGTAGTGTAGTGGTTATCACGTTCACCTAACACACGAAACATCACCAGTTCGAAACCGGGCGGAAACAGGTCACTGTTCCTTTTTCTGACTACCCTCCTGCATTTTTAGTCTTAGAACAGAACGCGCTGTTAAATTTTACTTTGAATTATATCAATTATGAGTTAAATAATATGGAAGCGCGCTCTCAGTTATAGTCCTGGTTCCTTATCTTTTCAGCTGCTCTGATAAATTAACATTTTTGTTAGGGGTGGGGGGAAATTTTCATGATGCCTTTTATAGGGACTAATGCTATCTAGGACTCTGAAATAACATTAATGTGGACCATAGAGTGCAATCCTTCGTTCTGTATTTGTCATTCCACAAGTTGAACTGCTCCTTACTACTGTCCAGGCTTCATGAGCCATGGGAGCAAGGGGCAGGCTGGGATAAGTGCGACCGCGCAGTAATGCCGACTGGGAGAGCAGGTCCGGTGGATAGGACCCTGGAAAAAAGGCACGAAACGATTGTCTGGCGTTGCTGGAGGCGGTGCCTGAAGCAACAGCAACACAGAGACCCTTATGCCCCTCCTCCCCCAGGTTCTGGCCGCTTCCCGGAGCGGCGCGGGGGCAGGGCAGGGCAGGGAGCCTGCCCTGCCCCCATTGCGCGCCGGGCAAGAGCCCGCCCCCTGAACCCCTCCTGCAGCCGACTCCTGCCCTGAACCCTTTGCCGCATCCCTCTTGCACCCCAACCCCCAGTCCTGAGCCCCCTGCTGCACCCCTCCTGCACCCCAACCCCCTGCCGCACCCCACACCCCTCCTGCACCCAACCCCCTGCCCTGAGCCCCCTGCCGCACCCTACACCCCGACCTCCTCCTGCACCCCTCACCCCTCCTGCACCTCACGCCCCAACTCCCTGCCCTGAGCCCTCACCACACCCTACACCCTTCCTGTACCCCCTGGGGGCAGGGAGGGGGTGGAGTTGGGGTGGGGATTTCGGGGAAGGGGTGCGAAGAGGCGGGGCAGGGGCAGGGCCTCATGGAAGGGGTGGAGTGGGGGCGGGGGGGGTGTCAGTAATGCGGCCCTTGGGCCAATGTACTAGTCCTCATGTGGCTCTCATGTTCATTTGAGTTTGAGACCCCTGATCTATAGTAAAAGAGAATAAATAACCCCCAATATTGTGCGGGAGTCGTCAGTTTAACAGCATCAGTTTTACTTTCAAAAACAGAAGATATCTTATCATGCACTTCTACTTACTCATCTTTGTCCAAAGTTTCCAGGTTATATGCCAACTGTTCAAAATAGTAATCCATCTGAAAACACTGCTCTAATTAATGCATGGCGAGGGATATAAAAAAAGTGAATCAAAGGCTAATTTCAATAACAGAGCATAAACTCACTAGCTGCACAGTATGATGCATTCTGTATTTCTCTTCACTCTGATGGCGCTGCTGGAACTTTTCATTATGCTTTGCAATACAGATCTCCTGTAGAGACAAAATATTATCTATAAAATATACATTCCAAATATCAACTTATAAAGGCATACTGTAATATTTTACATTAAAAAGTAAAATTGTTTAAGCAGTCATCATATAATAATCTAATTTAACTTTTGAATAAAAACACAAAACCTAAACAACTGTGTTAACACTGTTGTAGACTACCAGAGCATATATAGGTAGCAGCTACTAGCCAAGTCTAACACCATTACAGATGTAGCACAACTCACGGACTTTTCAAAAAGTTGAGAGTGCACAACTGCTCATGCAACTCCATTTTAATTGACGTGAGCAATGACTGCTAGCATTCAAGCAAAATTAGATAATTATGTATTCAGCTAGACAACTGGCAACTTGCAAGTGCAAATTCCTAATTTCCATGTATAATTGGTGATGGCACACACAAACGTGGATGCTATTGTATCTACATTTCTGCACCTGCACCTTATTTTCCAAGAGTCATTTCTGACATGTCTAATTTAAAGAACTGATGAAAAAATGGCCCTTTAGCCATTACACTTACTGTGTTACATTACACACACACACACACACACACACACACACACACACACTAGTTACTCACTATTAATTACTAGGTAACGTTCTACACTAATATTAGTAAC